GTGGTGCATCTTCAATACTGAAATTGCGAGAACGAAATTTTGTAAACCAGTTTTGGCACTGTCGTTCTGTCAACACATCTCCACCATACATGTCACACGATTTTTTTCTTGCTTGAACGGCATTTTTATTTTTTTGGTAATAAAAAAGCAAAATATGCCGAAGATGCTGCTTTCGATCTTCCATATTTCATGGGACACAAAAAAATAAACAATTGCACGAAATCAAACAAAATTTTTTTACAAATAAGCCATAAAATGCTAGCTGTCAAAGTATATAATGATAATACGGTTTAGAACGAAAATGGTGGGAAAAATACCACTAATCCGTCTAGTGGTAAAAAAAACGAACTTACTTTCCGAACAACCCAATAATTAGAAATTATTTCAGTAATCCTACGTAAATAAATTTCAAATGCAAAGAAAAGAGAAATCTATAAATTGAATACTGCGAATCGTAAACCATGCGTTTGAACTGTTAATATGATGCTGATTTCAGTACAGTACGTTTACGTTATTCCCCCGTTTTCTTTTTGTCCTAAACCTATCGATGTTTTATTTCATTCTTACTTTTCCAGCTGTTATATATAGCAGAGAGAAAGTATTATGATCTGTCAAAAAATGCTCCACCAAGATTTTTACAGTTTTGGCTTGGGACCTTTAAATTCAAAAGAAAAAAAGGCGGAATTTTCTGTATGTGCTCACTAGTGATTGAGTGGATGAAACACTGGTAATTGGTGATGGGTTCGCATCTAACCAGAGGGCTGGACACGTAGAGTTTTTCGGGTTTTCTTCGCGTTTGTAATATCTAAATAGGGGCCAGTTTCCCTTAAAAGACCTCGGGCCCACCAGTGGCCAAGCGGTCTTTGTACACTGAACACTTTTTTTATTATATTTCATGTGTAGATATAGTGGGCTTTATAATACTTTTTTATTCACACCAAATAACGTTTCTATCTGTTTAGTGCTAGAGATAGGCCTATTATTCTTATTCTAACTTTCAGCATGCCCAAAAATTTTGGTCAGGATTCGCCCCTGATGTATGGATGTTAGTGTGTGTGGGGAGAGCACGATTTTGTTCATGAACTTTGAAGCTGAATAACTCGTGCCTTTTGTCAAAAATTTGTGAAGTTTTTCGGGGAGGTTTGTGTATTAGAGGGATTGATGACATTAAATTTTAGTGGTTAAAAGTCGAAGGAGTGGCGTGCCTCTCGAGTGGGATCGGACTTAAAGAAGACTTTGCTCGTTATTGGAATTTACAGTTAAAAAAAAAAAAAACTCATTTTCACCCTCAAAATTAAGCCGTTTTTGCCATTATACATATAATAATTAATTACATAAAAAGTTTTTTTAAAAATAAAATCTCGTAAAAGATGGCGCCACAATTTAACTGTTGCTGGGAAAGTTACGAAACTCGTCGCTGGTTTTTTTATTTATAGAAAACATTATGTAACTTACATATATTTACGATTCAATATATATTATTATTATTAGTTTAAATGTGCTTTAAGATTTAAATCGACTTTTTATTTGAAAAAAATGTGCTGGAAATCTACTAACTTCTCGTCGATATTTTAGAGTATGATTAATCTAAATATTGGAAATTTAATTTCTTTTTATCGTGAAACACACTGTTTTTTCACATATTATATTCCAGTCTGTTCGAAATAAGAAATGAAGTTAATACAGTCAACATGTTAAATCACATGCATCTTGGAAACAGTTTATGAATTCAATGTCAATTATAACATTGATGAAATTATTTTCCATCGTGTAATACAAATTTCTATCGATGTGTTGTCATCGCATTACACTAAAACTTCGATTTAATGGACGAATTCTGGCGAGGAGTGTCCGTTGAATTCGAAAGTGGGTTTCCCGAATGCACATACTAAATTAACAAAACTTTTTAAATCAGTTTTTATTTAAGTAGATATGTTTGCGAAATTAAAATTAAGTAGGTACGAGAAGTTTAATTTTACAGAAAAGTTTTCTATATGCATTATTGCTTATGTACTCACCGTAGTTCTGAAACTGTAATAAACCAGCATACGATTTAAATCGAGATAAATTAAGCTATTTCAATTCAAAAATTTTTTCCTGAAACGCATCAATAGATGACCAGCACAACTCTATAGGTAACAGGAAAAGTATGATATACAGGGGCAAGACACTACTGTACTAATTTGAGGTGGAAAGCATATATATTAAATTAAAAAATTATGATTAAAATTGCAGCCTGGCATATTGTGACGATGTCACAATACATGATTGCTCATTTGTTCTTGGCCTTAAAATCTGTCTGTAACCTAGGAAATTAGATGGACAAGGCAGTTAAGGCATCAGCCTACTGCTCTGAGGGACCTGGGATTGATTTCAAGTTAGCTACTCTCTAGGAATTTTCTATCAGCATCTGTTTTATACGTTGGGCCCAATTCCTTACCACTGTCACCCTTGTGAGTCTGGCCAAACTGAAAAAAAGCCCTCTTAGTGCCCATAAGATGGAAAGAATTAAAAATTAAAAAAATAATAATAAAAGTAGGAAAGTATTGAGTACCAACTCCATTAGACATTTTAGATAAACTTTGCTGTCCATGGTCCTGTATGAAATCACAGATACTGCCAGGCCATACTATATCTTCTAATGTAAAGTTCTTCGCACTTTTTCTTCCTTTATGCAGTTGAAATTATATAAATTGATTTTCTAGACTTCATAACTGAAATTTTATTATACAGATTTATGCCTGGGCTTCAGAACTATAGCCCTAGCTTCTACTCCCCTCATTGACCCTGACTTAGCTGTTACGAGGATTCAAAGCATTCTTAATTATTTCTGGTAATTACATCATTACCAGAAATAATTTAAATTGTCAGATTAAATCATAACTCAATATTTATCAGATTGTGAGCTCAGTTCACATGGATGACAAGAATTCTATTTGAGTTCTTTACAAGACTTTGAAGATATGTGAAATGTGAATAAAATAGTTTTTCTTTCACCTTTTTAGATGAAAGAAACATGCAAAATAAAAGTTTGCAAAATGGAATTTTATATATTGAATTTAGTAATTCTACATTGTTGAATTGTTTATTTGGTTCATAGAATTAATTTTGCAAAATATTTTCAAATTGTAATGTAACTTTTGCACAGTAAGAATGATGATTTTTTCTTTTTACTTTAACAAACAATAGCATAACAACAAACAATTTTTAAAACATATTAGTGTATTAGTTTAAGAGTAAATATATTTTAAATATATTCATATATTATAATAAAACATGACATGTATTTTTACCTGCAGTATTTTTAAAAATATTTTTTGACTTCTTAGTTGTTAGTTATATTATTTTATATTTTATTATTATTCAGCTACTATTGGATTCTTGTGGGTTATTTCTGTTTATGGATTTTTTTTTCTTTTATTTTATTTTGAGAATTTGCAAATTTCTTTCAGCTTTTTAGCAAAAGAATTTACTAAGTGTTGTTTTTTGTGTGTATTAAGAATTTATCAACCTCCAAATGAAGTCTTGGTTCGGCATCTTTTAAGTGTAAAAAAGGAACCTTATGCTTGTTTTGACAAACATAAAGTTTCTTTTATAATATAATGACACTTTATGCCAGAATTTGTGACACATGCCATTTTCTTATTATAAAAAAGTTCATACAGAAATATGAGAGGACATCAAACTAATGATCATAATTGATGCTAAAATATGTCTAGTAATTAAATAGCTAACCTAAAGATACTGTATATTCAAATTAAATAAGCACACAATATTAAGTTAGTTCACTAAGAACAAGACTTGAAATATATAAGTAAGTTATAAAGACATTAGTTATTAGTTAATTTTGATGATAATGATAATACTTATTTTATTACATGTTAAAGTTTTGTGCTTCTTCTGAATTAAAATATTTTTTTGTCATAGTAGTATATATTTTTTTGCAATTGTAGCCTTAAAAAACGTGTGATTCATTCTTTTGATCGGGAATTAAAACGTTGACTTTTGATAGTTTTTCCTTACTTTCTATTAAAGCTTTTCCTTAATTTTTTTCTTTAGGTCTAAATGTTACTCTTCAATCTTTTTAGACTTAAAATTATATTAATGGTATCTTTTTTTCCTTCACATTTTTGTTAATTCAAAATTAACTGTAGTCTTCATTTCTTTTTCATACACTTTAGGTGCATGTGCATATGTGTATAACACATTGGTGTGCCATCCGTGGAAGCTGTGGAAGCACCGCTTCCCTTGTATTTTCTAAAATATAAATACATATTGTGCGATTATTTTCACTTTAATGTACTTTGAACTAATTAAAATTAATATTATAACCGCATTATTTATTTTATTACAAATTTCTATACATATGAAAATAAATTATAAGATTGCTATTATATATTCAAATATAAATTCATATATGCATATAAAGGATTTGACTAATACAATTCTACATAATAAGTTAATGTGAAAAGAAAAATATTAATATTTTATAATAATAGGCCTACTTATATTTCTTCTTCTCATATAAATAATTTACTAAACTCTAAGATGATTAACAATTCAAATATTTTTAATATTGGGAAAATATATTGTCCACACATTCTGCAAATAATCTAAAATATGATCAGAAAGCTATAAATATATGAATTTAAGTTTCTAAAAATTTTTGACATTTGACAGTGTCAAATTTATTACACCTGTAATTTTTCAGTGTGTCAAAGCTAAACAATTTGTTATCTAAATTGAGAAAAATAGAGATTCTGAAAAGTATATAAAAATAGGAATGCATTTGAATATATTTTATTTTATACTAGTATAATGCTTATTATTATTATTTATATTGAATTAAATTTAAGTGCAGTATTAAGAGAAATTCATTTCAAATTTAGACTGTATTTTGTATAAAAGTTTCTAAACATAATTGTTAAACAAATATGTTGCGATGTATAAATGTTATGTGGATTTTGTAAAAAAAATATTTTTTTCCTTTATTTAGGACCAATAATGGCTACTTTGTTGGCAGTTTTGCTAATTATCATTCCTGGAAGTTATCCTTTTACTTTTAATCCAGAAAATTTATTTCATTCAATATGGAACAGAAATATTTTAAATCATAAAATTCAAAAGTAAGTCATTAGATTGATATTTATTTCTATTACAATATTTTTGCTAATTATATTTAATATTTTTATATTATATAATACTTATATCGTCATCATTTTAGTTTGTTGATGTTTTTTAATATCACTTGATTATAATTTACTATATTTCCTTATTAGTATCAGTTATCATCATTTCCTTTGAGGTTAAATAAGGTCAATCCAACAATTTAAAAGTCATTAAACCTTAGAAACAACTTGAGTTTTTATACTAATTAAAATTTTTTTTGTTTTACTTTTTTCTTCCTCAATTCTCTGAATATATTAGATTTCAATGAATGGCTAAATGAAATTAACTATTACACATTTTTTTTTATTAATAATCAAAAATGCTTGCTTTCATTAAATAAATGATTTTAATGATTTGAAACAATCAAACAGTTGTTTTTAAATGATTTTTTTCAATAGAAATTGAAAATTTATTATAAAACATTTATTTTTAAATAAAGTTATATAAAATCACAAATATAGATTATCCAAATAGCATCTTCACTTGTCCATTTTTACACCAGGAACTCATCTAAAACACATTGAGGTTGACCTTTTTATTTAAGGCTATGACCTCAGTAAATTAAGGTCAAACCTCAGTGTGTTTTAGATGAATTCCTTGTGTGAAAAGGGACGAGTGAAGATGCTATTTTGGATAATAATATGTTTGTGATTTTAATGAACTTTAATTTCCTGTATTATTATTATTTTTAAGTTATATAAGTCTTTGATTTTTATATTTATTCTTAGGGTAATGAATACAGAGAAGAGTAAGCAACTTGATCTACATTCATTAGGATTATCTGACAAGAAACATGGAGTGAAAATGGGAATAACCAATGAGAACTGTGATAATGCCATAGTAAATTTTTTTATTTAATTAATAATATACTTAATATTAATTTAACTCTTCCATGAACAGTCCCAAGCTCTGGCTTAGAATGGAGAGGGGTTGATGTCAGGCAAGCATGGTAGGAACCAACATGGTGCAAATACTTAGGCATGTGTAGGAACTATACAGTTATTCCAAGTGAGTTAGTTGTATAGTTAGCATTAGGGTTGTCCAAGAGCATACAGAAAAAGTAAATATGTATGATACACAGCATGTTAAACAATTAATTGGATAAACATGATCCTAGACTTAAGTGTTGATGGGGTCAGTAAAAAGGAACACAAAAAGAAAATTATTAGATGGAGGGAATTAAAAGATTTGTGTCAAGTGTTTAGGAAAGAGTTGAAGGAAGGAAGGAATAAATTGGAACTTTGATGGAAAAGCAAATGTATTGTGGAATATCATAGCTTCAAAAGTTAAGAAATTTTCAAAAACTGTTTTGGATATCATAAAAGTAGGAGGAAATAGAGTAGATAAAGAAACACAGTAGTGGAACATGGACATTCAGGAAACAATGATAAATAAGAAACAGGCCTTTAAGAAGTTTGAAATGAATAAAGATGAGAGTAGTAAATTAAAATATATAAAATAGTAAGGAAGAAAGTAGCTAGTGCAAAATATAGGAAACAAGATGAGAAATATGAGAGATTAGTTAGTAAGGTGGGAACAAAGGACACATAAAATAACAAGACTTAGAGAAAGGAATAGTAGTGATATAGAAAAGATGCTCTCTTCATATTTCAGAAAAACAAGATATTAATGAAAGGAAGGGAAGAATAGATGGATGGAATACTTTAGTAAGTTTTTAAATGAAGGTGCTGGATTAAACAATAGCTCAGATATAACCTGATTAATTAAGGCAATTGTTTGGTTTATTATTTTGCTACTTTAAATAATTAGAAATTAAGTAATTTGGTATTAGAGGTAGATGTTAGGTGCCATCTCTTATCCAAATAAATAATTATAATAATAATTTATGAAATAATTTAGAATAGTCTAGAAGAAAAAAACTGGCCCAGAATAGGATTTGAACCTACAACCTCTACTTACCATGAGGTGTGCTGCCAGTCACATCACTCAGACATCCGAGCAATTCTTTGCTTCCAGACGTATTAAATCTAGATATAACCATTCAGTTATTTACAACACCAGGTGGGGATGACTCCTATGCCCACGGCCTATGTCCACTCTTCCAATATGGCACTTAGCCGGCTATCGCTTTACCCAGAATGCTGTGTGTATATATATATAATGAACATCCCAAAGCCCAATGCATTGATACTAAACCAAACAATCACTGTTTGGTCTAGTATCAATGCAGTGAGTAACCATGAATGGTTATATCTATGTTTAAATAAGTGGAAGTGAAGAATTGCTTGGAAGTCTGGATGGCATAACTGGTAGCGCACTGCCCGATAAGTGGAGGTTGCGGGTTCAAATCCCACTCAGGCCAGTTCTTTTCTTCCAGACTGTTCTAAATTATTTCATTAATTATTAATTTAGATAAGAATTGGTGCCTAATGTCTACCTCTAATACTAAGTTATTTAATTTCTAATTATTAATAATAGCCAAATTAATTATGGTAATCATTTGGTTTAGTATTAATGCGTTGGGCTTTGGGATATTTATTTATATATATACAGAGTGTATCAGAATGACGTTTTAAAAATTTGTGGGATTGTATAGAATGAAATTTTGAACGTTTTGATATAAGGAATCTGTAGCTGGAAATGTGATATAAAGTTTCTACAGCACTTTGCACTTTGCAGTCAGTATGCTGAATCAAACAGCAGAATACAGTATTTATGACAAGTTTTATTGACAAAACCGTAGAGTACAATCAAACTGTGCATGGAATCAGTTGCTGCACTACTTTAGAGTAAATGTTCAATGTGACGACCACCAACTTCATTGCATATTGTGTGACGACGAACCATGTTTTGTCTGACTCTCTGTAAGATGACACGCTCCCTTCTGATAGTATTAAATGCTGTAAAGATGTGCTCCGTATGCTCATGAACTATTCCTACAGGTGTTGCATACACAAGAAACTTTACATAACCTCAGAGGAAGAAATCAAGAACAATAACATGATGTACGTCAATGGATGGAAGGATAGCTACCAAAATGAAGGGTGGTCAAGCACTTCCTACCGCTGTAGAAACTTTATATCACATTTCCGGCTATGGGTTCCTTACATCAAAACGTTCAAAATTTCATCCTCTACAATCCCCCAAATTTTTAAAACATCATTCTGATACACCCTGTATATATATGTATGTATGTATGTATGTATGTATATATATATATATATTTGAGTTTGGTATATATAATAGATAGTGAGGTTTAAGAAAGATGAAAAGGAAAAGTAGAAAAACTGAATGACCAGATTGGATCCTGTTGATATGTGGAAAATTTTAGGCAAACTAAAAATAAAATAGTTAATTATGTTATGTAATAAACTGATGAGTCTCTTATTGCTTGCCTAATTGAAATATATAATATATCTTTTAAACAATCTCATTTAAAAATAATATAAAATAGATTATGATAAAATTTGGTTAATCAATTTTTTAAATTTATTTACATAAACTAACAAATATGCTGTTTCTATATATTATACTTTCAAATATTTATAAAAAGTTTTCAGATATGCTATCTAATAGTTTTTTTTTTTTAAATTTTAAAAGGACAATTTACATATGGATTGGGATGGATCACCAGTTAATTATACTTGCTATACTCCAAAGAATCCTTTACCTATATTACAAGTAAGATTTTGTATTTTAATTCAAATTTCATTACTTTAAAAATTTATTGATGTAGTTATAAAAAGAAATAGTTTAGTAAACAAGTTTACCATATGATGATTCAGTTTGCCATTCAAAATTGTATATATATATTACAGTAGAGCGTCGATTTTCCGAAAGTCAATCATCCGAAAGAATTCCAGTCGGCAAATTTAAATTTTCGCCAGTGCTGTGGCGCTTCAATCTTTGGCTGTGTCTTGGGCTACTCAAATATTTTACGTTTTTGATACTAAATTAACATCTGAAGTATAATTTTTTATTGTTTTTATATTTTTCAATATATTTATTTTGTCTGTACAAAATAAAAAAATACTTTTTAACGATACAATAGTTTTTGTTAGGCTTAACATCGACGAAAATTCAACGCGAAGCGACACGCAACGGATAAAAATTT